CTTTCCGCTCGAATCTGCCGGCAGCCACCCCCACTCCATCGATCCAAATCTACTGCTCCTCTCCACCGATTTGCTCCTCCTCCCCGCAGATTGGTCGCTCGAATCCGCACTAAATCACATGAATGCAAAACTGAAAAACTTAACTAAAATAACTCAAATTAAAAACTGAAATTGCAAAACTGAAATTAAAAACTAAAATTACTAAATGAAATTGCAAAATAAAATTACAAACTGACATTGCAAAACTGAAACTAAAAACTAAAATCACTAAATGAAAATGCAAACAACTATTGTTAGCAACAGCTATTGTTTGCAACAGCTATTGCCATGTTTGCAAACGGAAAGATGACTGAAATTGAACTGAGACTAAACTGAACTGAGAGGAACTAAAATAGATATAATGATATTAAAATTGAACAAAAATAAACTAAGACCGAAATAAAACTGAGAAAACTGAGACTGAAACAATATTGGAAATTGCAAAACTGAAATTAAAAAGTGAAATTACTAAATGAAAATGCAAACTGAAATTGATAAAAAAAAGAAAAAAAGAATGCAATACTGAAAAAAAAGAATGAGATACTGAATGTTAAATACTGAAGAAAACTGAAGGCTACAGAGATAGAAAAGCAATTCAACCAACATGTTGCTCAAGCTAAAAACTTAAATTTCAGACTTCCAAGTTTCAACCGCTCAAGTGAGCTGGAATCCCTGCCAGACTCCAAATACTGAAATAGAAAACAGAAACTAAAACTAAAATTGACAACATAGCTATCGGACTGTAAAAACTGAAATAGCAAAAAGAAACTAAAAATGAAAATGACAACATAGCTACTAAAAAATGAAACTGAAATTGACAAGCAAACATAAACTAAAACTAAAATTGATAACATAGCTACCAGACTCTAAAAGCTGAAATAGCAATTACTGCTTAAAGAAATAGCACAAATTAAAGCCTCACTGTGCTGCTGCCATAAGCGAAATGCACTGAAGCAAAAATACTCTGAACTATTTGAAAAATAGTGACTACAACTGATACTAAACTACTCTGTTCCTATCAATACACATGCATGCAAACTGCTACAACCAATATAGCTTAGGCAAGTAAAATAAACTGATAAATAAATAAAATTACTTGCAACCTAAAAAGATGACCAAAATTCATGCAAATGACAAAGTTCAGAACCTAAGCTAACTGCATGTGCTTGCTGCCACCACCGAACAAAGGAGGAACAAGCTGAGTGGCTCAACTACTTACCACTTGACTGCTAACTTTGATATATGTTATGCACAAAACTACATCTTTCTCAGCAAACATACTATGATTTTCACAAATCCCAAAACAAATTAAGTTCATTAAACTGAGCACTGAAACATGTTCAAATTAGTAAATGACTTTATAATATCCAATAAGATGAAAGATGATATGCAGGGAGAAGTAGATCAAAACAACATGACAATATGTTTTGCCAAAGACATTTTTAGTATGCTGGGAATGTCACTACAACTGAAAACACAATTGCGGCAACCTAACAGACTGAGGATGAATAGATGAGATATTTAAAACGTCAGTAAATAGATAGTACATGATCGCTTTTCTTTTTATATGAGGAAATCTACGTTATGAACTGAATGTAAGCACTCATTGCAGAGGCTCTTGATTCGTGAAGATTGAGCTTTACATTTTAGATAGAGCAATGAGATGTTGAGCTGAACACAAATTAAGCAATGAGACCTTGAGCTAAGGCAATGCACAAAACACAAATCCATAGTTTCTACAAAATAATTTAATAAGGTTCATTTAGCCATGGTACAACTTTCACATAGAAATGAAATGATCGAACATTGACATAAAATAGCAGCATGGGTAGAAATCTCACTAAGATTCATAGATGAAACTAAAACTGGTACTTATGTGTGTGGTGGCAATGCACTTTCCATGAATATAACACCTACTCAGTGACAAATGCTGCAAATCAAGAGTTATAAAGGCATAAAGCAAAACAAATAGGCTGGAACACATGGAATCCACCTTTGATGCAGGCGTCAAACAGTATAACTTGGATAAATCATACATCAATCTTGAATCAATGTTTCCAAGAAAGAAGTTGCAGACGTAGGTAGGTGTGAGTCGCCCTCTACCGTTAAAGAATCGAAGCCCGCTGCTGGTAGAACATGGTGTGGCAGCGGAGGGAGGGGTCGACGATTTGAAGACGAGAAGCACACCCAGGCACCGCGACCTGCCAAAGCAAGCAAGCACGCCGGGCTCCTGCTCACCCTAGGTGTGTGCCACCGCTATTAAGGGCGTGGATGTGGCACCGCTCGACGGAGAGCCACGCGGCCTCAGCCGCGCGTGCACTCCGGCGATGGGAGCCGCACCGGCGCCAACTGCTATGCCTTGCCGCGTGCCTGACCGGAGTCGCCGCAAGCTGCGCCGCCCTCATCACGCACGGACTCGTCACTGCGCTGCCAAAATGAAACGAAAGGGGGAAGATGCCTGAAGCTTTTACATGTATGCCATTAAAAAAGTTTGTAATTACACACAAGCCATTAAAAAAGTTGACCGCAGACAAGTGCCACTGCTCTAAACTTCTTTGCCTTACAAGCCATTCCATCCTTGTTCTGTTTGTTTTTTGCCGTTTGGTAGCCCTTACAGGTGGGACATGCCAGTGAAATTGTCCATTTTGCCCTTGGGACTGAGGAGACCGTGTTGACCTGACCAAACCCAACATCATCAGATTTTGATTTGAGCCCCCAAAGACAAAGTAGCATTGACTAAGTGTGTCTTCCATAGAATTGAATCATTGACCAGACACGAACCGTATCAGGCTAGATGTAGGTAGCAAGTCCAAAGTCAGCGATCTTGATCGGCGACGAGGGCGACTTGCTGACGAGGAGGATGTTCTCGGGCTTGAGGTCCCGGTGCACGATCCCTTTGCTGTGGCAATGCGCGACGACCTCCATGAGGTATCGGAACAGCACGGCGGCCTCGTGCTCGGAGAAGCATCCACGCTCCTCGAGGCGGTGGAAGAGCTCCCCGCCGGCGCAGAGCTCCATGACAAGGTGCACGGAGTCACGGTCCTCGTACACGACCTTGAGGTCGACGATGTTTGGGTGGCCTGCGAGGCGCGCCATGACCTCAATCTCGAGCTTCACGCCGCGCACGTCGTCGGGGGACAGGAGGCGGCCCTTGGCGATGGACTTGCAGGCAAGCGCCTCGCCGGTGACGAGGTCGGAGCAGGAGCAGATCACGCTGAACTGGCCCCAACCCAGCTGCGGGCCCAGCGCGTACTGGTCCTTGAGCTAGGAGACGTGCGCCGCCTCCAGCAACCCCCCCCCCGCAGCCCCGGCGCCTTGTACGAGTTGTACTTGGCATCGCCGTCGACGCCGCCGTCGCACCTGGCGGCGGCCATCGCGCTGAGGTACCACACGCTGGTGAACCCGGCGAGAACTGAGACCTCAGCCGCTGCCCGCAGACCACTCGCTCCCCCCACCTCCGCCCCGAATCTCCAAGCCCGCCGCAAGCGATGCTCTTGAATCTTGCGGCCTCAGCTCAGGTCAGTTGCGCCCTCCCTCCCTCGCTCCCTCCACGGGCATTCCGCGCATGGCTACCGAATCTGCGGTGAGGAAAAGCAAAACAGCAAGGCCTTCAGCTCTCCAAGCCCCAAAATCGCGGCTTTGCCCCGCAAAAAAAAAGAAAAAAACAGAAAAATTAACACGACTGAGCGCGCATAGCAGATCGAGCCACGTCTCGCTCGGGACGGCCTCGAAACCACCGCGCCCCGGCCTCGGAGAAATAGGTAGGAAACACACGCACTCACCCGCGTCGCTCGTCGCCGCCGCCGGCCGCGGGGTCAGCTCCTCCGAGGGCCGAGGCCGAGCTCGTGGCTTCGCGGCACTCGGGCCACCAGGCGCCAGCGTAGAGAGCGAGGGAGAGGTGGTGGTGACTAGTGATGGTCCGCTCCGCTCCGCTGGTGGTGTGGCCGCCACCTCAGTCCTAAGGGCAACATGGATAATTTCACTGGTATGTCCCACCTGTAAGGGCTACCAAATGGCAAAAAACAAACAGAACAAGGATGAAATGGCTTGTAAGGCAAAGAAGTTTAGAGCAGTGGCACCTGTCTGCGGTCAAATTTTTTAATAGCTTGTGTGTAATTATGAACTTTTTTAATGGCATACATGTAAAAGCCTCAAGATGCTTGGCTGTAAGAAAAGGTCGCAGCGTTGGATGGGGGGAGGGGGGTTCTGCTGGGCCGGCCCGTCGCGGCCTAGAGTCGGTCGCTGTAATAGGAGCGCGATCGGTCACTTAATTGACTTTGCGAATACAGAAGGGGCGCATAGAGAGAAGATAATTACTATCAAACAAATAAGCAAAACTAGGTTTGAAAAAAAAACAAATAAGCAAAACTATTTACAAAAATCATTTAGGGTAAAATTACCAAAATCCTCTAATGAAAAAGTTAACCATGCCATTTGTGTGGACAACCTAGCTTGCTAGTTCATTCATACACTTGAAGCAAAGGCTTGTTGTTGCAAATCATTGAAAATCACTTATTCTGAGATCTTAAGTTTTCAGAATAATAACTTGAAGCGCAATTTGCAAAGAACACCATCTAACGGCCCTCTAGTGCCGTGAGGCTCATGTCATTCATGGACGATACGCTGTTGTTGTTAGCTCCTCTAGGTTTGGCATCTCTGCGTGCAAAATACACGGGCTGCGTTGGTATTGGGAGCGGCGTGGTTTTGTTCTCCAGCATGAACACAACTGCTGACATAAGTGGCCTACAGTTTGGACTGTCTTGAACACACAAAAGTCCTATATGGATGCATCGTGAAATTTCATCGAGAGGACAATTCTCTTTAACAGATGAGTCCACCAAATCTTCTATCTTGCCATCCTTCCATAGGTTCCATGCCTGAACAGACATGAAATCTTTTATTAGCTAATATATTTTGGTGGACCATAAGGTACTGGATTGGGCGCATCCCACAATACTTACCTGGACTATAAGGTTGGGAAAGTCCATCAGAAGATGTGGTGAGCTGATCTTTATTCCACTCACAATCTCCAATAGCAGAACACCGAAGCTGTAGGTGTCTGACTTGACCGAAAATGCACCTTCCATTGCATATTCAGGTGACATATAGCCACTGTACAGAGATTCACTAGTTAGGATAGGGCGATCTGAAGTCCTAAACAAGTGCTAGCATATATAATTGCATCTGAAGAATTGACAGCGTGCGAGTTACTTACTACGTCCCAACAACCCGGTTTGTATTTGCTTGATGTTGGTCGCCACTGAATATTCTAGCCATGCCAAAATCTGATATCTTAGGGATCATCTCAGTGTCCAACAAAATGTTGCTTGCTTTGAGATCTCTATGGATTATAGTTAACCTGGAGTCCTGATGGAGATACATAATTCCTCGTGCTATCCCCTTGATTATCTTGAACCTTGTCGGCCATAGAAGCATTGATTTTCTTGCAGTGTCTAGTAAGAACAATGCATCAGGCATATCAGAAGGCATATGTGCATACTAATTGGGTTTGATCAACAGTACCAAAATTTTAAATCTGCATGTACCAAAGATGAAGTAATCCAAGCTTTTATTGGGCATGTATTCATAGACCAATAGCTTCTCATCTTCGTGAATACAACAACCAAGAAGCCTAACTAGATTCTTGTGCTGCAATTTTGCAATCAAGACTACTTCATTTCTAAATTCCTCGGTGCCTTGCCCAGAACTCTTGCTAAGTCTCTTGATGGCTACTTCATTGGTACCTTCCAACATTCCCTACATGATTTCGTCGGCCAAAATTATACAGTTTAACTAGTGGTGTGGAGTAATTGTTCAAGGTAGAAAACCGTTTTGCTATAATACCTTGTAAACTTTGCCAAAACCTCCCTTTCCAAGCATATTGGTGTCTGAGAAATTGTCTGTTGCCACAGCAATGTCTTCGAAGTCAATAAATGGAAACTCTATATTCTTGTCCCCAGCTTGGTCTGTAGACCTCAAATATTGTAACATGTGTCTGTTCTGGACTTTCTTCTTTTGCCGTGTTCCTGCCAGGAGAAATAACAATGGGTTCACCCTCGTCAACACTTACACAACAACTTTCGTCTTGCCATAAATGACTCCTTTTTTATCTCTATGTTTGTACGTCAAGACAAGCGCTGTGAATGTGATTAGCAGCACCAATGCTGTAATTGGGAGCAAAATCTTCACTAAATTTCTCTTCTTTTGAACTGCAAACAGGAGCGAATATATGCGTTAGAATTTATGGAATTGAGTATAAATAACTTACGTTTAAAAAAAAGTATATATAACTTCCAATTGTTTTACTTTGCTTGCATACAATACTGTGATACATCTGTGATTATGTGAACACTCCCACTAATCTGTCAATAACCTGAGCCTGAACTATTATGTCATGTAAATCTTACAACTTCATTTGGAGATTGGAGTAATAGGGCATCGTTGCATCAATGGTTCATTCGGATGGGTCAGGATTAAACATATTGCATTCGAATGGGGGAGGGGAATAACTATAATTTAGATGTCGATCCATTGGAATTGATTCAAATACCTGCCTACCCAAACAAGCAGTCAGTAATGTTGCTGTGAAATTGAAGGACTTGAAACCGGCCCCTCCTCCCTCCTTCTCACACTAGTAAGCATTGATGGGTAATGGGCCTAATGCCTTCTTTGGCTGCAGACCGATCCACGTATGATCCACGTAACCATGTGGATTGGTGTGCAGCCAAATAAGCTCTTATGGGAATATGATATTGTGAAAAGCTGAGATTGCAGTATATATGCTCATGTTTATTTACAGATGCAAATTGCTCAAGTTTGAATTTTGCATCTGTGAAAAATGGCATCAATAATCCTTAAAAAATGGCATCAATATTGCAAATGGATTTCATCAATTTTAGAGTGGGCGGCAGTGCATTGCATACCATGGGATACGGCGGCAAGCCGGATGTACAGGTCCTCACCAAAGCTGGGAACTTTTCCCGTATCGACGAGATCCCCAGTCCATACCAGGCACCTCGACGTGTAAGCCCAAGTCCCGGCAGTGCTCATGTTGAAATAAGCATACGCCGTGCAGGAGCAGTTTGTGCTGCACTCGGTCACGCACTGGTCGAAGCTTGTGTTGTCGACATGCATGAAGCCTTGGGGAGCCTTCATCCCAGACAATGTCACAAAGCGATCCTCCATTCCGCACACCAACGCCTCGTTTCTCCTGCATCCTCTGGAGACGTCATGGCCGTCGATGGGCTCGAACCCATCGAGGCATCGACAACTCGGCACAGACTCTGTATTGTCGCAGTAGCCGAAAGGGCCGCACGCCGCGTAGAGGTCACAGCCAGAGCTTGGGCGCTCATAACCGGCTGTCCACGACGATGTGTCGTTGTTCCAGGTCAGAAGCCTTATCTTGCCTGTGTAATCAAGCGAAAGACGCGTGTATGCCGGTGAGTCGCCGGAGACTGTGTACATGAAGTAGAGCCCATCTTCGTTTACCCTCGACACGGACACGATGACAGTGGTACTAGCATAGCTAACACTACCACCGAACGCTGAGACGTCGTTGAAGAAATTGATGCGGTAGTAGAGTCTGGTCCCATGCCAAACAAAGGTCTGGAGCTTTGAGCTGGGATCCATGCTAACGGAGAAGTCCCCAGTGGACGGGTCAGCAGGGCCCTTCGAAGCAAACAGGCGCGTCACCACATGTCCCTGGTAGCTGAACAAAACCCTCATCGTTGGAAGGATTGTGTCGGTTGGGTGGTCGAAGCTTTGCCACATGGCGGTGCCGTTCGCCGATCGGAGGACAAAGTTTCCAGAGCTGAGTAGCACTGCGATAACTCCGGCGCCTCCGGTGGCCGTCGTCCACAGAGGACGGCCTGTAGTAGAGTCCGACAGCGCGAGCTCTTGGTTGTCGGTGATGGCGAGCTTGGCCGCAGACGGAGTGGTGTTGGTGATAGGGCTGTCACGGTTGGCGACCCACACTAGGGTACGATCAGGGATGTTGTGGTACCAGATTCCGATGTACAGGCTCTCGTTGGAGTTGGTCGGGGAGAAGCCAAGCGCAAAGACCCCGTCCTTGGAGATGAGCATGTCTCCAGGGAAGAGTGGCTTTGCTTGTGTGAACTGGTCATCCGATTCGCAGGGTGAACTCAAGAGTAGGAGGATGAAAACTTGAAGGTGGACCTTCTCCATTATTAGGCCCTTCTTCTCCATGTTTCTCTTGTCTCTGTGGCTGTAGAAGAAACTGAAAGCTATGGATAGAACAGTTGTATTGTGTTGGGAGCGTAGCTCTCTTGATCTCATCACATTGAAGAGCACCAGGAGTAATGGACAGCAGTAATTCAGATTTCAGACAGTAACGTACTGTATTCATGAGTAGAGTAGTCACGACTCATGAGTCATGATAGCGAAGCGAGGACTAGCTGACAGTGCAGTCCTGCGGGTTAGTTTCACAGGCCGTTTTCCAGTGTAGCGGTGGCCGCGCACGCGCAGCTCGCGGTCTCCGACGACTTTGTCGGTCACGTCGCCTACCACGCCACGCTGAATATTCGAAGAAGAAAGCACGAACACGACACGCTTGACGGCTTGAGGTCGCGTACCGCTTCTCGCAAGTCGGGCCAGCACACCTATTCACTTTCACATGCTGATGATGCGAGTCCATGTGTGTGTGTGTGTGTGTGTGTGTGTTTTTGAACTTGAGTCCATGTGGTTTAAACCGTGGAACTCAGGATTACAGCGGGGATTTCCTTTGGTGGAGTCCGACTCTACGACGACGCGAGGAAGATGGATGGAAGGTTGACGGCTGGGGCCTCCTGGTAGCAAGACAGGGTGTGGGGTCAGTTTGGCAGAGGCAGAGAGGGATAGGAGAGCTGGCACTCCACTACGGTGTACTAGGCCGCGCTATCGGGCCGGCCTGGTCGGCTTGTGGGGCTTGCGCGCGAAGAAGAAGGGAGGAGTGGGCTGAGGCCTGCTAGGCCGCAGCAGAGAAGGGATGGGTTGGGCGTTACTAGGCCCATGCGCGCCTGCTGGGCCACAAGCTAATCGAGAGTGGGAGAGGAACACTAAGGCTTCTCTTTTAACCAAAAAGCTAAAAACAAAATTGAATTCAAGCCCGAGTTTGAATCCTCCTGAAATTAGTCATCACAAAAACTCAATGCAGCAGCATGCAATACATAAATAAACATGTTTATAATCTTATAGTTGATTTTATTTTTTTAAAATTATTTTCCTTATGTTTAATGCACACAAAAATACATAAACAAATAAATATAACCTAGTTTCTGACATTGGATTTTTAGGGTGTTACATTTAGGGACCAAATAAAAATCTTAGTTTCATATATAATAAGCTTACATACGTCACAACCACATGCAAAAATTCACTTGTTGCAAATTGCTGTATTCACTCGTACTAAAAGTTCCATTTTTCTATAACAATTTTGAAGTGGAGTTTGCGGAAGAATGTTATCTAACGGGCCTCTAGCGCCATGAGGCTCATGTCATTCACGGATAATACCCTATCATTGGCAGCATTTTTAGGTCTGGGATCCCTACGTGCAAAATACACGGGTTGTATTGGTATTAGGAGTGCAGTGGTTTTGTTCTCCAGCATGAACACAACTGCTGACATTAGTGGCCTACAGTTTGGACTGTCTTGAACACACAAAAGTCCTATATGGATGCATCATGAAACTTCATCGAGAGGACAATTCTCTTTAACAGATGAGTCCACCAAATCTTCTATCTTGTCATCCTTCCATAGGTTCCATGCCTGAACATATATGGAATCTTTTATCAGGTAATATAATTCAGTGAGTATATAGTAGATGCTGGATTAGGTGCATCCACCAATACTTACATAGACTATAAGGTTAGGAAAATCCATCATATGGTTTGGTGAACTCATCTTGATTCCACTCACAATTTCCAACAGTAGAACACCAAAGCTGTAGGTGTCTGACTTGACTGAAAATGCACCTTCCATTGCATATTCAGCCACTGTGTAAGGATTCACCAGTTATTTAGGTAAGCAGGCTCTAAACAAGTGTCAGCAATGTAAATTCCATCTGAAGAATTGGTAGGGGCATGAATTACTTACTATGTCCCAACAACTCGGTTTGG